GCCGCTCTGAGTTGTTGTCGGCTTTTTCGACATTGTATGCGCTGTAATCGAATGCATATCGAGGATGCCGCACTTTGATATGCTATGTCGCTTGATTAAGCACAGTTTGCCAGGCGGTTGATGTTCGATGGTGTGTCCGAACATTAGCCGCCCGTGGCTGTGCGGCCGCTTAGAGGAAAGGGACCATACACCAGGTCATGTCCTCAAAAATCATGTACACGTCTATATGCGCATCACCCGCTTTAGTCTGTGGAGTTGCTTGTGTGTGGCGTTGTCAACATGTCGCCGAACATCCATTTGAGCGCGCTCCATTTGAGCACGACAGCTTTGCTTGTCGCTCCCATCACACCTATCTTTCTGCCCTAAGTTGTTCCACACGTGCTAAAGCTAGCATACGGGAAGCAGGACGCCACAGGGCGTCGTCGGGGCAGAGGAAAACCCACGGGTCGGCAACGAATATGCAGTTCGAGCGCATGCATGCACATGCACACACGCAGCTGCAGCTGCGTGCGCACAAAATCTCGCTTGCGCGCCACAGGATGGTGTGGCTCAAAACAACTTACACCACCACAAGTGGGAGAAGACAAAACACATGCATTCCTACCCACAAAAACGCCACAAAAGCGTTTGTGCAAAAAGATGTTAAAAAGAGTCCCCCACGGCACCTCTCTCCAGCCCTCCACAGCTGGACGACCCTTTGCGCCCTCTGTCCCATATAAAGAATCTAAACGTACCCCACATCCCATACCACATTGCATGCACCCGACGTGTATATCATGCTTTGGACGTATTGCAAATGCATCTAATGCGCGCGAACCACGGAACAAGACAAACACCAATCAATACACCGCAACAAAAGCACAAAGATACAGCTTTAGCGTCCTCGAAAGGACACGCCGGCAGTAAGGGCGATTTACAAGAAAGTTGTGGAATATAGACTAACGCTGCCCGATACAAGTCATCGGCTACTCCCGCCGGAGTGGTCAGGGAGCCTGTGGTGTGCTAAGACATAGTTATTTGCAGTACGTATGCGCAATTGGTGATCGTGGGTTCAAGTCACGGCTCATGCGGGTGCGATTTGCGTTCATCGCTGACGCGTTATGTTAATCGACTTGTCCAGCAGCAGCATGAGACGATGTATTAAGCTTTCTTT